CTGCTGCTGCAACAGCAGGCAAAACCACCGATGCCACCACGCAGCCGCAGACGAGGCCGCTGCCCGATGCAGCAGCAGAAGCAGCAGCTGCTGCAGCAGCAGCTGCTGCAGCAGCAGCACCCGTCTCAGCTGCTGCAGCGACAGCCGATGAAGGATTTGCTGCAGCAGCAAAACTTGAACTGCAGGCAGCAGCAGCAGCAGCAGCAGCAGCAGGAGCAGCAGCAGCAGGAATCTATAGACTTCTACTCTCCATACGCTTCAGCCTACGCGCGCAGCGAATCAGCAGCAACAGCAGCATCACCTGCTGCTGTTGCTGCTGCTGCTGCTGCTGCTGCTGCTGCTGGGCGGCAGCGCCGCTGCAGCAGCGCCCGTAGGGCAACCGATCGCCACCCTGTTGCTGTTTCTGCTGCAGCAGCAACAGCATCTGCTGCAGCAGCAACAGCTTCTGCTGCAGCAGCTGCTGCTGCTGCTGCTGCGTTAGACTGTACGATGATGCCTGCATGGAGCAGCAGCGAAGAAGAGCAGCTGCTGCTAGCACCGAGCTCAGCAGCAGCAACAGCAGCAGCAACCCCTGTTGCTGCTGCAGCTAATACCCCTGATGCTGCTGCACACCAAAAGCAGCAGCAGCAGGAGGCGCAGCAGCAGACTCACCAGCAGCAGAAGCAGCAGCAGGAGAACGAGACAGAGCAGCTGCAGCAGCTGCAGCAGCTGCAGCAAGAACCGCAACGGCAGGGTCAGACACAGCAGCAGCAACAGCAGCAGCAGCAGCAACAACAACAGCAACTGCAGCAGCAACAGCCACAGCGCAACGGAACGCAGAATCACCAGCAGCGCTTCCCGACGGTGGAGCAGCAGCAGCAGCAGCAGCAGCAGCAGCAGAAGCAGCAAGAGAAGCAGATCGAGCAGCAGCAGCCATTGGCGACAGGGCAAGAACGAGCAGCAGCAGCAGCAGCAGCTGTTGCTGCTGCTGCTGCTCCTGCTGTTGCTGCTGCTGAAGCGGGGAACGTTCTGGCTGCTGCTGCTGCAGCAACAGGAAGACAGGATGTAGGCGACTGTAGCAGCAGCAGCAGCAGCAGCAGCAGCACCAGCAGAAGCAGCAGCATGGGCAGCAGAAACCATCCGCAGGGAATGGAGAACAGCAAACTACCCGAACACAGCAGCAGCAGCAGCAGCAGCAACAGCAGCAGCAGCAGCAGCAGCAGCAGCAGGCGTCTACAGAAGAGGCCGACAGTTCTTTGCGTCTCTCCTTGGGTTTGGGCTGATGGAGATTTTGCTGCTGCTGCTGCAGCAGGTGCTGATGCAGCAGCAGCAGCAGCAGCAACATTTTTAGATGGTGCTGCTGCTGCTGGTCGGGCGCAGCTGCTGCAGCAGCAGCAGCAGCAGCAAGAAACACGCATGCAGCTGCAGCGCGTAAGACAAGCAGCAGCAGAAATGAGTAAAGTTTGTATGGTTAAGAAGCAGGAGTTGCTGCTGCTGCAGGAGGCAGCAGAAGGAGCAGCACTAGACAGCAGCAGCAGCAGCAGCAGCAGCAGCAGCAGCAGCAGCGGCAGCAGCAGCAGCAAACGCGGAGACGATGACGACCCCGAGGTTGCTGCTGCTGCTGCTCTGTGCCATGTGGAAGAGCTGCTGTTGCTGCTGCAGCAGCAGCAGCAGCAACGCGAGCAGCAGCTGCAGCAGCTCAAGACAGAAGAGGGGAGGCTGCTGCTGCTGCTGCAGCGAGGAAGACAACGAAGGCAGCAGCAAGTTATGAGCCTTTGTAAAGATGTTCTCTTCCCCGTATGCTGCTGCTGCTGCTGCTGCTGCTGTTGCTGCTGCTGCTGCTGCTGCTGTTTCTGCTGCTGCTGCCGTTGCCGCTGCTGCTGCTGCTGTTGCTGCTGCTGCTGCTGCTGCTGCTGCTGGATGTGTTGTTTTGTGCTGCTGCTCAGTTTGCTTCGGCAGCAAAGCTGTTTTGCTGCTGCTGCTCTCTGCCTTCTACAGCTGCTGTACCTGCTGCTGCTGCTGCTGCTGCTGCTGCTGCTGCTGCTGCTCAGGTCCTGTGTTTGGTGTCGGGGGTCTTCGCGACGGCCGCCTCCGCTCCAAGCGGCGATTCACTCTATGTAAGCAGCAGCAGCAGCAGCAGCAGCAACAGCAGCAGCAGCAGCAGCAACAGCAGCAGCAGCAGCAGCAGC